GCAATTAAACGTGTAGCTCGTCCGCTCCATACAGTAGCGATGTTATCCTTGCGAGTTCGCTCTCTCTTCCCAATCCTCGCGTATGTATTAATATTATTATACGCGAGGCGATAATCTCTCCGCTGGGGGTGCCCTACACATTACGAATAACTGCGCGTTATTACATTATGCACTTAATTACGGCCTCTAACGGTTCAATCATCGCGTACACAGACGGGGCGATTAGTTTCTCGGTCAGCTGTCCGAGCCGCGCCGGGCGACCGCTTACTGCAGTAGTCGTCATCGTCTAGATGGACTCTTCGAGTTTACGACGTTATGAGGCTTCTCCTTGTTCTCATCTAGCGGGATGGGAGTTGATAGAAACGCGTAGTGAAAGACGGAGAGAGAGAGAGAGAGAGAGATAGAGAGAGAAGAATATAGAGAAGGAGCGAGAGGGAGAGAGAGATTGTTGGCGCGAGTCCCTCAGCGGGCTCATTAGTACCATGAGTGGGCTCTTTGAGTCAGCTGACGGACTTCTGACGGACTGACGTGGTCGCGAATCCACGCGGAACCGTTCCAGAAGAGGAACGCTCGAAGCATCCAGTCAGATTCTGTCGATTCGTCATGCGACGGAAACGTCGCGTCGTGGCGAATCGACGGCCGAGGCAGACTCTCGCGTCGTGAAAACACCTCGCGATTGCCCTTCGATGGACGGAGATCAAGGGGATTACCGCGAAACCATTCGCATGGCACTTGGTGGCGATTTAACAATGACAAGGCTCGATTTCTGGGACGTTAAACACAAGCTGTGGTTACGGTCTCGTACTCCATAACTTTTTCAGCAATTCCGTCAATGTCTGTCCGTGAGATTTCTGGGTCAAATAATTAAAACCAATCGCAATATCACACCAACATCACAATTCTCAGACCTGACAAACTTGAGTTTTTCAGTCTTGAATTTTTTTATCTTCCCAAAAGCGAATGTTTGATTAATAAAAGTTAATTAATAATAATTCTAAAAATTATGGCTAAATGGCCAAAATAGATTCACATGAATGTGGAAGCTTTGAAGTTACGAATATATCAAAACATGCCGGAGTTTCTATTTATTGCTGCTACTTATTTGTGACCTGTAGGAATCCACGAGGTGGGAGAGAGCTAACGACCTCTTGAGAACTAAGATGAAAACTCAACGGAAAGCTGCTGACGACCTGGAATCATATACCTATCAGTGTCGTCAATATCATTAGACAAAAAGTATCGCGCTTATGCTCATACTCTCTCGAGTTAATAAATCATCGGTACACACACACGACCATTGCTTTGAACGCTTCTCTTGTCTGTGTTGGCCTATTTAAGGAATTCGGATATGGGATTTTTTACTCACAAGCAAAGTTTTCAATCAATCAAATTTTTCTCTATTTAATAACTGATTCAAACAAATATATTTCTATTCAATTAACTGACGACTAATTCAAGCAAAAACAATTGGAGAATATTTAATTGATAATTAATTTCAACGAATTAAAGACTGTTCAATTAATAATGAGCAAAAGGGAGCAAAGATCGTTTAATTAGCAATTGAACTTGGCAAATTTAATTAAAAGCCATTCAATTGACGATTAATATAAGCAAATTCAATCGATTCAATCGAAGAGCCTCTAATTACCCAAGATTATCATTGGTTTTGTGGATAATATTTATGATAACTTCATGATACATCATGAAGGATGTCGATGATTGAGAAGCGCTAAATAGGACTCGTATTGAGAAGAACATTAGTTATATTTCTGAGCTTTATTTCTTTCATCGAAAGGATTGAATTTGCTAATATCAATCATTAATTAAACGGTTCTTGATTAAATTTGTTAAGTTTAATGTTCAATTTAATTAAATTTGCTAAGTTCAACTCACATGAAGTACGTTTCGTACCATTGACAAGCTTAACTCTTGTAAATGGGTAAAGAGGACTTGTTTAATAAAAAATGGCGTAAACTGGTAGAAAATAAAATATGTTTTCAATTAATTTTAGATATTTATAAAGTATTCAATTAATTTGAGGTATTTATAAGCCTCAAATCTTTCTTGTTTTATGTGGAAAGATGTATGGACTAGGGAAGACTAGTCAGGGCTAGTCAGCTACTGGGGTAAGTTGCAAAACCGGTTATTTCTAGCATTTTCTAACAAGTTATGAAATTAAGCAAGCAGGCTTTTGGAGTGTGTCAAAGATAGCTTTAAATCTCTGCTTGCTTAACTCTGAAATCTGTTAAAGAACAGTAGAAATAATCTATTTTTTGCCAACTTACTTCGTGCCCAAATAACCTCGGTCTCCCTTATTCATTGGTAAAACAGAAACTCAACAATCATAATTTTATGGATTGGATCATTCTTGCATAACTGTGGCCGATTGTGACCGAGACGGAGTGGCGCGAACCGAATTGCTGTCAATGAATAAGAGAAGGAGAGGAAACCGCCGCGCATATCACGCGTGCTGCACCACGCGAGGGACAAATACACAAGAAACGAAAGCGGCGGCTCAGCCGAGGTCCCACTTCCACGGAGAATAACACCGGCGCGCAGCAGCAACGCTGAAACATTAACGGCGCCTTCGGATAATCCCGGCCAGGTGAAATATGCCCCGGCCACCTCTGCGGCGGTCGCGCGAACGAAAGTATGTCTCTCCGAGCCTAGAGTCTCGTACAGGGTGTCCCAGAAAGCGCTCCTTACCTCCGCGGTATATCACCCGAGAAGCGCCGCCTTCTGCCTGTTCCTTCCCGCTCGGATTCGATTCCGAATCAGAAAGCCCGAATCGCGAGACGCGATTACTCGGCAACGGATATGCGGCACTGGTCGCTGGTCCTCGCTGGCGCGCGCGATAATAAGGGCGGTGGACGCGCACCCCCGCGAGAGCAACGCGGATCTGAAGGGTGTCCCTTCTCGGGCACCCTGTATACTGCGCGATCCACGCGCTGCTTCATCCTCCTGAGAAAGTCTCGAGTGCGCGACTACATACACACTTATCTCGCGCAACACGACGGATTATCCGTCTCTCGAGCGAGGCGTGATATACAATCACCATAAATCGACGGGACGGGTTAGCATCCTCTGTTCCCCTCTTTCTACCTCTCTCCCTTTCTCACTCTTTCTCTCTTTCTCTTTCTCTCTCTTCGTCCCTTTCTCTTTTTTCCGCGCCCGAGTCCTGCAAGATTCATACCTGCTTCGGATAGCCTCCTTCGTATTCGATGATCCAGCGCCGTTGCCGCCGCCAGATTCTGTGCCCTTTCGCGAAGGGCGAAACAACACCTCTCTGCGGGCGATTTTTCGCAGTCGCGAGAGAGGTGTCGCCTTAATATGGGGAGAAATGTCTCCCCCGCCAAATTTATAGCCCGCCGCAACCTTCCGCGCTCGCGAGATCCTTCGCGGCGTGAAGGTAACACGGCTCAGGGGCGCATTTAATATCGAGGGTGTGTTTGCGACGTTGACGACGACGAGTGTCGCGAGATTAAAGGAAGAGAAAAGTGTTAATGGAGATAAATTGGACGCTGCAAGAGAAGCAAGAGGACAATGAACTCTTGTGATGATAACAGCAGTCGAAAAGATACGAGGGACTCGGTCGCGAAAGCCTCGAGAAAAGAAGAGAAACACTTCTGTACACAGACCGACATAACAGCCTTAACATATGGAGTTATATCTTTCTACAAGGTATAACATATGGTTCTTATTCTCAACTCACTTTTATTGATAAAAGTGCCTTTAAATGTGACTTATAGACTCTTTTGATTAGTTTTTAGTCACATTCAGAGGCACTTTTGTTGATAAAAGAGAGTTCAGAATAAAGGCCATTGTCTTGTGTGTATGGAGAAATTCAGGGAGACTATAAAATACTATAACTTCAAGTGTTAAGCTATTATACCAGCCTGTGTACATGAGAGCGTTCCACGTCGATTTGAATGCGTGACGCCGCGCACGCGCCTGTCGACAGACAACAGTTCTTACTCTGAGGAAGAGACGTTTGCTTGTGACTCTGTAATCGCATGGTGAAATAATGATAGTTTGGAGAATTATTTTAGCAATAGGGGAGACCGAGACTATATGGATATGTTGCTCATATTTTTTAGTATTTATCTTGAGAGGAATAATGAGTATAAAATCACGAAATGATTTTTTTAGAACATAAATACTTTTTCTTGAGTTTCATTAAAGTTGGAATAATATTACAATTAAGAAATAGAAAAAACTAACTTGATAATAGTAAAGTAAATTTTCGAATTTCTCAATGTTTTCTATTAATATTCTCCATCGTGACGGAATAAAATTAAGCGATGTGTTATTCAGTTAAAATGAAATTTTTGCAAATGTATGATATACTGTTTTTCATGATAAATGCAATTTTCATTCATAAAATAATTGAAATAGAGCATAGGGCGGGCGAGGTAAAGTTGTCCTACATTTAAGGGCTTGCAGGAGGGCTATGAGGACCTCTCGCAGAGACTTTTACTAATTAAGACGCGCTATTAATCTTACGCTCTGAAGTGCTTAAAAAAGCTATGATTGATTTATACGACGCTTCAAAGTATTTATTGCGTATAACGAATCGCACTCTACATGTGTGCCTGGACACACAGAAAAGCAGTAAGACGTTAGCAGTAAGTAAATTCATCAATTATAGCCGCCGATATTCCAAATGTATATGTTCATTTCTGGATATTAACATCAAAGTACTACAGTGACAAATTGCTGATTTGATGTATTCTTTTTGCTTCATGGATGATTGATAAATAATTAATAAATAATTTATACAAAATTAGAAAATCTCTGTCCTAATAACTTGAGCAAAAACGAATTCATTGTTTCAAATAATTGTTTTAAACAATTGAATTGAAATAATTGTTGAAGGAAATATAAAATATATCGATACAAATAATTTATTTTCGTTTAGTGCTACGCAATCTCATTTGAAGATAAACATATTAAAAAGATATTTTTCAAATAAGATGTCCTTTTTTCTGCGTACGTGTGCGCGCGATCATAAGAGATCAACATGTTTAGCAGATACCTCATGCTTACAATAACATCAGGTATCAGCAGTAATGCTAGTTTTCACGGACTCGTCAAACAGGTAAGATACGACGCTTACCGACACGTAGAAGTTATACTTTAAATCTTCAAGAGAGAATATCATACACTTGCAATAAATTTTATAGTTAATAACACTTCGCTTAATTTTATTCAGTCACAATGGAGAATATTAATAGAAAACATTGAGAGACTCGAAAATTTACTTTGCTATTACTAAGTTAGTTTTTTCTATTTCTTAACTTCTGTAATATTATTCCGAATTTAATGAAACTCAAGGAAAAGTATTTATGTTCTAAAAGGATTATTTCGTGATTTTATATCCATTATTCCTCTCAAAATAAGTACTAGAAAAAGCACATGAACAACATGTGAAGATATTTTGAGATTTCGAGACAATAAACGTGTCGAAAGCAGCTTATTATTGCGACAAACTTTATTTGTATAATTTCAACACATGAGAAGAGTTACAACAAACAATAGAAATATCGATTCGAAAATCTTTCAATTATTTTTAACAAAAAACAAATCGAAAGAATCAGCATCGGGATTATAATGGTGTACGAATAGATAGACAATCTGATATTTTAGACTTTCGTAGAGTTATCCAATACTTTGTTTTATTCCTAGTTTGGACGGTGTAGTTCTTTCTTGTGTTTGCTTTCGACGTTTCGTGAACATTTCAGTTCATTCTTTCAGGAAGCAGAGCAATCTGATACATAATTTGCTATACCATTATTCAGATAATATAGATAGATACTTATTTATTGATATATATTTCTGATTTTAATATAAATAGTTGCAAATATATACTATGGCAACATAAACAGCTACTTTGATCTAAAGTGCGTCTTATTGTCAAGGACTAGATATTCAAATATTCTGTAACTCAATCTGCTGAATTAGTGTTCTAAGTACTGCACAGTGCTTTCTGTAACTATCGCTGTCTGTAACTTTCTATATAAAGTTTGTCGCGATAATAAGCTGTTTTCGACACATTTATTGTCTCGAAATCTCAAAACACCTTCATATGTTGTTCATGTGCTTTTTCTAGTATTTATTTTGAGAGGAATAATGGATAAAAAATCACGAAATAATCCTTTTAAAACATAAATACTTTTTCTTGAATTTCATTAAATTCGGAATAATATTACAGAAATAATTAAGAAATAGAAAAAACTAACTTGGTAATAGCAAAGTAAATTTTCGAGTATTTATTGTTTTATTCTTTCCCTGTGTTTAATCAAACTTATTAAAATGTAAAGATAATTATTCGTATATCGTCCATAATAGATAATGAGTATATACAAATTATAATTTTATAAATATATATCGTCCCTCCCGATAATCAGTTGACAATCAACCGACAAAACCAAATTAATTCGATAAAAACCAACACTTGAAAATATTCGTATTTTTTTCTTTCCTTTTTCTTATTTTAAAATTGGAAATAACATTTTATAAATGTGGATGGTCTTGCTTTGCATCTTATTTCATCTTATATACATGTATTCTCAGTTGATAGACAAATTGTTTGCGTAGATGTATGAAGCAAAATGGTGTCCTTGAGATTGCTATTGAGCACCGCTGTGTTATTCGCCGTTAAAGTGGTCAGCAGTGATTTTGACTGCGCAACATTCTCTGCCTCTGACAATATACCGTTTGATTTAGTGGCGCCAGTACTTTATAAGGTCGACTTTATTATAACAAATAACTCAGTAATTCTTGGCCACTCTAACATCCTCCTCGAAGTTCATCGCACAGTTAGACGCATCAGTTTACATGTTAACGAATTGAATATAATTAATAAGTCGATAATGTTTATCAGGACAAATATGATGACCAAAAAGCGAAACATAGGATACGTACCTCATCGGATTGGTTATTGTCCCATATCGCAAATTTTGGAGTTGAATTTTAAAGATGATATATATCCGGGAATGTATAATTTAAGCATAAAATTCCAGTTCCCTGTTGACTTGTCTCCGTATGATAATTTCTTCTGGTGAGTTAACGTTACAGTAGCATGAATCTCATATTCATCAATCGTTTCTACAATATTACTCATTTTTGCTGTAATTGTCGCTATTATGTATTTTTATCTACAAAAACTTTTAAAGTGCATAACGTCCAAAGAGTAATAAGATATTACTCGAGGTTTGCATATGAAAGCGCGAATTCCTTAAATTTTCAAATTCAATTCGGTTCAAATCCATTTCAGTTTTCAAGATGTCCCAAAACTATCGTATATAATAATATAACAAATATTAATTTGTACAATGTATATAAAAATATTATTAATGTATATATATTATTTTATTACTGAAAAATATATAATATATATAAAACTATAGTATGTATATATATAATATGTTATATATATATATATATATATATATATATATATATATATATATAATATTATGTATATATATAATATATATTTTTTGTATTATATTATTATATTATAATAATTAAATTATAATATATTATAATAATATAATATAAAATAAAATACCATGCGAATTCTTCAACCAGAGCTCTCTGAAAATTGTAACAAAAGAAAATTGAAACATCAATTTTCGAATTATAAATCAATGAAAAAGCCACTTTCTGCGCGAACTAAGTACCTCCAAAGTGAAATAAACAATGAAATTATTTTTTTCTTGTCACTTTTATACAGATAGAATATAATTAAACTAAATCTCAAGATAAAACTTAGTTGTAAAGATATATTAATAATATTAATAAAGCAGCAAAATTCGTCGATATTTCTATATTAGGACTTTGAATCCCAATTAAGTTCCAAAAAGTTAATTAAAGCATCGTACAATAATTTTGGGACTTCTTATATAATTATTTTTCTCGATAGTTGAAACAATTGAACATACTGATTTCCACATTACATAACAGCTGGAAATCAATCGTTATCTAATACAATTCGTTGAAATGTGATAGGTTGTCCACAATACGGAATGAGTTGAACTCGCCACGCAGAGTGTTTCCAAGTTGGGATAATCTGGGGGCAAAGGCACGTTTCAGCATCTCAGTGAAACATTCTAAGTATCAACAGGCTTTATCAAATGCGCGAATATCACACATAGATTACGATAAAGACGAAACGAAGACATATTTCGAAGAGATTCCTATGATAGCTCCTCGTGAAGTGGCAATTGCAGTGATCGATTCTGTAATTTACAGACAGACTAGTTTAATTTCTAAGGAGATTATATGGTGTCGACAGCAAGTGGATGACTATTTAAAGTATTTTATTTTCGCTATTAAAGAGTGCAGGACAACATATAACATATATATTAAAAACATAACATATAACCCATATATTGGAATTTACAAAACAATAAAATTAGATCATGTCTTGATGCCGAATGCTCCAATGAAAATCATGAGATATCCTGGACTCATTATTTACAGGTATGTAGAATGATTAACAATATCGACGTAGAGCGTATTAAATTCAACATGAAACTTCTCTACGGTTTGGGGATCTTTCTTATAAAGTAAATAGTTAAAGAATATTAGCGCGCGTGAGTGCGCAGTAAAGCGGTAGGACAGGTTCTGTAGGCGCTTCTCAAGGAAGGTGATTTTGATTTGCTCACAATGTCTTGACAACGACGAGTATATGCAGTGCAGTTCAATATTATGCGTTGCATGAACATTGCAAAACGGAAAAATAGAAAAAATAGAAATTAAAAAATTTTATCACATTTTTGTAGCTTATCCGTCATGTATTTCAAACGCAGTAAAAATTGTGTATTTATATAATAATAATTGTATATTTTACATATTAATTTTCTGAAAGAAAAACATATTAATAATAATTGTATATTTTACATATTAATTTTCTGAAAGAAAAACAGTCAACGACCTCGTTTTTTTTATATTTCTAAAAATCCCTTTTAAAAATTACCGTTTTATTTTTTGTTTTATTGGATTAGTGCTACAAGGGTTTATCAAATGAAATAAAAAACAAAATTCCCAAAGATGAATAATTTTTACAAATAAAACGAATAACATCGAGTCGGTATTTTTTACACATCTAAAGAAAACTTTCCATTTTTTTTAATACCTAAATTTCCTACAAAAATTTAATAAAAAGATTTTTTTAACTATTAAAATCACGAAAGTACTTCGATTGTTAGAATTAAAAACTTGATATTGGAAAGCGTTTCTTATTTACGATATATGAAAATAGTGCTTATATTAACTTTAATTATCTCGGTTTCCGTGCGATCAGTCCTTTTTATTAAATTTTTTACTTAATTGTACAAACCTATGCATAATTATTTTCCTTAATGCGTTTTAATTGGACACAAGCAATTGACACGATTATTGTCACCTTGTTTAATATGCGTACTTGAAGTGTTATTTCATAAATTGTCGAGAATAAAAAAGATTTCCAGTACTCAGAATTCGAAAGTGCGTACATACTTATGCATACGCACGACAGAATCGAAGTTGATCCTATAAATTCGTTAATAAAGAGAATTAATCTTGAATTTCGCAGCCTAACTGTTCAGACAAATTATGTACTGAGATCTTCGAATTATTATTATAATTATGTACATAAAAACATTCAATTACGTGTGTTCGTAGCAAAGAAACTCTTCCAATCGCATTATTCTTGTACTTTACAGAGAACAAGATTTTATCTACAATATAGATTCAGACTATCCTGGTTATAAGAGCAACATATTGAACTTACTAGGGCAAGAAATGGCGCGTCAATGGTTCAATCAAGTGACCAGTCCGTCTTCGTCGGCTGACGTTTTGTTTAGTGAGATCATCGCGTCGTTTCTCAATCATATTTTGACAGAGGTTGTTTCATATATTTCGTATTAGTAAAATGTAAATTATCTAGTTGGCACGTATCATTGATATCATAACAATTTTTAAGTTCTTAAATAAATTTCTGTCAGGCGCGGTAACGCGTGTTATTATTGCGTGTTATACTGATTCTAGTACCTTTTTCGACGTTATATTCACACAACCGCAATAAGTATCGTATTACTTTCTAGAAGCTGCAAAATAAGACGATACAGGATCTTTACGCGGTTCAAATGATGCAGTCTGCTTTTCATCACGATTCTGCTCTCAAAATAAAACATGTCTTACATAAAATTGACAGTGCTGATAAAATTGAGAGGGACCTTTATTTTCGCATATATTGCAATAAAGGTAAGACTGGGCACACACAGTTGATAAGATCATTCGTAAATATTTGAATAACAATATTTGGAAAGCGAGACGAATAGTTAGTGGCAAAACATTTACAATTTATATTTATGTGTAATTCAATACTTTACATATATACGTTGACATTATAATTTGAGGGCAAATTTAAAGATAAAATTGATAAAGTAAATTTTATAAAGTAATACAAGTTATTCAGGATATATCAGATATTATCTTAATCTTTCATTATTTATCGTGTGAATTGTTGCAGGAGTCGCCTTAACCCGAATGTTGTATTATTTATTCAGCCCGGATGACTTTCACATTGCTATGCAGATGTATTTCACTCATATGTGAGTAATATATTCACATTGTAATTTTATATTCTTGATGTTAGTTATATCTGCGATATGTTCGAAAAATTTTATGTTTTGATAGATTAAAAAGCAAATCTTATGATTAGTTTGATCAAGTTTAAGAAGTTTCATCAGAGTTAAATTACATAAAATGACGTATAGTTAAAGTCGAGGTAGTTAAATATATTTGGATATATTTATAAGAAAATTTACATTTTTTTCTCATCGATATTAAAATGTATCGATTAAGGGATCATAAAGGTTCGTTTGAACTTGCGAATTTATGGGACGCTTTGCAACATGTCCTTGACATGAGAAACAAGAAATGGATCTTTTCGCTAAACGAACTAACGGATATGTGGCTAAATCTACGGTCTTACCCTGTTGTGTACGTTGATCGTTATTTTGATAATAACACGGTGGCCATTTCAAAATACGACACCAGTATAATACCTATAACTTACATCACGCAATCGAATCTCACCTCTGGTCTTACTTGGAATTTTACTTGGCTCACTGGTCATGAGAACCAAATTATCTTTGAGATTGCTGAAGATGATTTTATCTTAGTCAATATGGAACAAACTGGTGAGTGTTAATCGACAAATTCGTCACGTTTATTCTATGTTTAATGCTGTATCACTTTTTTAAGATATAACTTGAAGAATTGCTCGTATTCCCTATAATTGAACACGAAAATTAATGTTCAAGGCATTTCTAAGTAAATACGATTGGAATTAATTAATATAGTAACAAGAACATAATTTCTCTTTGTACGGCAGGATATTATCGCGTCAACTACGATTTCAAGAGTTGGCAGAAGATTTTGTCTTATGTGCTCTTCCAAGATTACACCGTCATACACGCCATTAATCGCGCTCAACTCATCGACGACGCGTTTTATTTTGCGATGCAGCGGACACTCAGTCCTTCTATCTTTTTGAATCTCATTTTGCATTTATCGTATGAAACGGATTATATAGTGTGGTATCCTGTGTTCAACATCTTAGCGAGGATGTCGACTTATCTCGAATTACCAGAAAGTCAACAGTTCAAGGTAAGTGATAATATCATTTCATCAAACAACATCAAGTTAACTATTTAGCGTCTTATGTGTACTATCATACGAGGAGTTCATAAAAGTTTTGATAGCCCAGAGTATTTTATTTACATGCAAGACGGAATCACTTTCATCAATCTCGTTCATGTTCAAACTAATTAATGTATTTGGCCGACAATAATGTTGGAAAGGTTAACACGTTTGTTATAATGATTTATTAGGGAAATTTTCTCTACGGATAATATCGCGCTTGTTTTTATGTAATTGTGTAAAATAAACTTGATTTGTTTGAAATGTCAATACGCAAAGAAAAATATCTTTGTCATACATATGTGATGTTGATAGCGAACATAGTAAGTAAGATTGAAAATTTTTAGTTTAAAGTTGAACCTGAAGTAAAAGATCGATGCGTCACACATGTACTAATTATTTCAGTTTCTGTATACCAGACTTTTTCTAATTGTAATTTGCGTATATATAAGTCGTGTTTCCATTAATATACCGTGAAAGTTTGAAAAAATTTCTAAGAAAATGTGTTTATAAATCAACTGCTTTAAGTGATAAAATACCAATAAGTGACTAGTATTATTGCATGATTTACAGGAAATCATATTAAAATTGTTAGGAAATCTTTTGGAGGCAATAGGATATGAAGAATGTTCTGATGAAAGTGATATGACAAAGTCATTGAGATTATTAGCAGTAAGATGGGCTTGTAAATTGGGTCTTAGAGAATGCAAGTATGCCGCCTTGACTAAACTGTTCGAGCATCTCAACCAGCCTGACAAACCGTATGTGTATAAATCTCTTTACATTCGGCATTTTTTAAAGCATACTTTTCATGTATCTCTCATTTGTTTGTTTGTTTAATCACTCGTGCAGTCGAGACACGAGATCGAGAGTTGTGTTTGCCTTATGAGTTTGTATTTTTTTTGGATGTGCCATAGAATTTCACCATGGTGGAGGGAATGGGTATATTGCACAGGTATGGAAACGGCAAATTTAAAAACTTGGCAAAGGTGGATGGAGAAATGTGTTAGAGAGCAAAATAGCACGTGCTTAACTTACTTGTCTTGTACTAAGAAGGAAAATGTCGTCAGCTATTATTTAGATCTGCTCGTGGAGACACGCACGTATGGAAATTTTTCAAAAATATATGAATTCACGAATACCACAGAGATACTGATGCTTTTCCATATTCTGTTTAAAAATCAAGCGAAGCACAATTATATGCTTGCGATGTTCGTATATATACAGGACAAAATAATTGACAAGTGAGTTTTTCTTCCTAAATCAATTCCTTTCTATGTAACGATTTGAGATTGTGAGAGTGTGAATTATATTTGGTAATGATATATTTGATGCTTTTTTGATGTTATAGGATTTATCGTAACTTCGAAATAAATCCAGTGAAGTTGTTAACAGAAGTTATAGGGAATATATATTCCCACGACAGTTTTGATATGGTAAATTTTGCGACTTTATATTCTATACTTACTTATTCCCGTCTTCTTATTAATTTTGCTACTCTGCGATATATTATGTCACGGTTAATTTTGGTCGTATTACACTAAATTACTGTTGCTTGTTGTCGACACTTATCAAAATTATATGTTGCAGATGGCGATATATGCAGAATATTTGGAATTTAAAAGCAAGGCTCAGGAAGATCAATTTTATGGCTTGATACGTTTTCGACTTAAAATGTTGACTCGAATAGCCGCACATTTTTATATATTTTAATTTATATTTTAAACAGAAAATATGGTTAGAATCAGATTGGGCCTAAACCATATTTTTTGGCTGTTTTAACACGAAGATGGTAGTAGTAACATGCATATAAGATTGTTATCATTAAAATTGTGTTAGTATAATTGATTAAAAAATTATTGTTTTGACCATAATTTGTAATCATTATTTCTCTATGTGATTATAGATACAAATACTAAATATTTTTCTCTCATTGTATATTGAAATAATATAATAGGTTGATAACACTGTTTATGTTAATGTTGGTTATGTAAATGAACATTATTTTACATGCTTGTGAATTGAAAATAGATGTTGACTCGATAATGCTCGCTTCACAAAAATAACAACCTACGGATAGGATATAAGACACGAATCTTACTAGTATGTTTACTATCAAATAGCGCAAATCATTGAACTGATTTTTAAAGATGACATAAATCCAGGAAAATATAACTTACACGTAAAATTCAAATTGCGACTGATAATAAGTGATTGATCTTTTATGATAAAAATTTCTGGTAAGTTAATTTCAAAGTAGCGTATCAAAATAGCACGTAAATATTATTTGTTATTACTTACTATTGTTTTGACGCCATTGTCGCTATTTTTTATATACTTTATTTATAAAAATTTTTTTATATACTTTATTTATAAAAATCTTTAAAGTATTTAACGCCCAAAAAGTAATGAAATCTCTTTCATAATAATCTGAGTAAAAAGGAATCCATTGTTTGAAATAATTGTTTTAAACAATTGAATTGAAATTATTGTTAAAGGAAATATAAAATATATCGATACAAAAGTAATTTATCTTTGTTTAGTGTTACGTAATCTCATTTGAAGATAAACATATTAAAAAGATTGTTTTTCAAACAAGATGTCTTTTTTTTTGTATGTATGCGCGCGATTATAAGAAATCAATATGTTTAGCAGATACCTCGTGCTTACAATAACATCAGGTATCAGCAGTAATGCTAGTTTTCACGGACTCGTCGAACAGGTAAGATACGACGCTTACGAACATGAGAAATTATATTTCAAATCTTCAAGATAGTATATCATACACTTGAGAGTATACACTTGCAAGAAATTTCATAGTTAATAACACATCGCTTAATTTTATTCAGTCGCAATGGAGAATATTAAAAGAAAATTGAGAGACTCGAAAATTTACTTTGCTATTACCAAGTTACTTTTTTCTATCTCTTAACTTCTATAATATTATTTCGAATTTAATGAAACAAGGAAAACTATTTATGTTCTATATATATATATATAAATAAATGGATTATTTTGTGATTTTATATCCATTATTCAAGATAAATCTATTTTATATCCATTATTAATCCATTATTTATATCCATTTCTCAAGGTAAATACTAAGAAAAGCACAAGAAAAACATATGAAGATGTTTTGATATTTCGAGACAATAAACCTGTCGAAAGCAGCTTATTGTCGCGACAAACTTTATTCGTATAATTTCAACGCACAAGAAAAGTTACAACAAACAACAGAAATATTGAATCGAAAATCTTTCAGTTATTTAAAAAAAAAAAACAAATCAAAAGAGCCAGCATCAATATAATAGTGTACGAATAGATAGGCAATCTGATATTTTAGACTTTCGCAGAGTTATCCAATACTTTGTTTTTTTCCCGAGTTTGGATGGTGTCTTTCTTGTGTTTGCTTCCGACGTTTCGTGAACATTTCAGTTCATTTCCTCAGGAAATAAAGTGACCTGATATATAATCTGCTATATCATTATTCAAATGTATATAGATAGATATTTATTTATAGATACATATTTCTGATTTTAATATACACAATTGCAAATATATACTATTGCAATATAAACAGTTGCTTCGATCTAAAGTGTGTTTTATTCTCGAAAGCGACAAATTCAGATATTCTGTTTCTATGATTCAATCTGTGCGTTGAATTAGTGTTCTAAATATTATACAGTGCTTTCTATAACAGTGATTATTGTTTTATTTTTTTCCTCTGTTTAATCAAACTTATCAGAATGTAGAGATAATTATTCGTATATCGCCCATAATAGATAATGAATATATACAAATTTTATTTTTTATAAATATATATCACTTCTTCCAATAATCAATTGACAATCAACCGACAAAACCAAATTAATCCGATAAAACTTAACACTTCAAAATATTCGTGTCTTTTTCCTTCCTTTCTTTTAACATTTTAAAATTGGAAATAATATTTTATATTTGCATAGTCTTGCTTTGCATCTTATTGCATCTTATATAAATGTATTCTCAGTTGATAGACAAATTGTTTGTGTAGATATATGAAGCAAAATGGTGTCCTTGAGATTGCTATTGAGCACCGCTGTGTTATTCGCCGTTAAGGTGATCAGCAGTGATTTTGACTGCGAAACATCCTCTGTCAATGACAATATACCGTTCGATGAAATGGCGCCAATATTTTATAAGATCGACCTCAATATAACAAATAACTCAGTAATTCTTGGCCACTCCAACATCCTACTTAAAGTTCATCATACAATCAGACGCATCAGTTTACATGCTAATGAATTGAATATAACTACTAACTCGATAATGCTTAACACCATAAACACGATGGCCGACATACCAAATATAGGATACATACCTTATCAGATTAATTATTGTTCCATATCGCAAATTTTGGAGTTGAATTTTAAAGATGATATATATCCGGGAATGTACGACTTAAGCATAAATTTCCAGTTGCCTGTTAACTTGTCTTCGTATGATAAATTCTTCTGGTGAGTTAACGTTACAGTAGCATGAATCTCGTGTTCATTATTCGTTCCTAAAGTATTATCCTTTTTGCCGTAATTGTCTCTATCATCTATTTGTATCTACGAAAACTTTTAGAGTACATAATGTCTAAAGAGTAATAAAACATTGCTCGAGATTTGTATACAAAAGCGTGAATTCTTTCAATTTTAAAATTCAATTCAGTTCAAATCCAATTCAGCTTTCAAGATGTCCCAAAACTATCGTGTAATAATATAACAAATATTAATTTATATAATGTATATAAAAATATTATTAATGTATATATATTATTTTAATGTTAAAAAATATATTATATATAAAACTATAGTATATATATATATATATATATATATAATATTATGTGTATATATAATATATATTTTTTATATTATATTATTATATTATAATAATTAAATTATAATATACTATAATATAAAATAAAATACTACATGAAATTCAACTAGAACTCACTGAAAATTGTAACAAAAGAAAATTGAAACATTAATACTTTTCGAATTATAAATCAATGAAATATAAATCAGTGAAAAAGCTACTTTCTGCGCAAACTAAGTACCTCCAAAGTGAAATAAACAATGAAATTATTTTTTTCTTGTCACTTTTATACAGATAGAATATAATTATACTATATAATTATATTATATTCTATAATATATAGAATATATTTAATAGATAGAATATAATTAAACAAAATCTCAAGATAAAAATTAGTTGTAAAGATACCTAACATTAATAAAACAGCAAAATTTGTCAACATTTCTATATTGGGATTTTGAATTTCAATTATAAGCTCCAAAAAACTAATTAAAGTATCATACTTCTTCTTTCTTGTATGATTATCTTTGTCAACGGTCGGAATAATTGAACATCCTGATTTCCACATTTCATAACAGCTGGAAATCAATTGTTATTTAATACAATTCGTTGAAATGCAATAGGTTGTCTACAATACAAAATGAGTTGAACTCACCGCGCAATGTGTTTCCATGTTGGGATAATCTGGGGGCAAACGCACGTTTCATCATCTCAGTGAAACATTCTAAGTATCAAAATGCTTTATCAAATATGCGAATATCACGCATAGTTTTCGATGAAAACGAAACGGAGACAAATTTCGCTGAGACTCCCATAATAGCTCTTCGTAAAGTGGCAATTGCAGTAATCGATTATGCAATTGACAGACAGACTAATTTAACTTCTGAGGAGATTATATGGTGTCGACCGGAAGTGGACGACTATTTAAAATATTTTATTTTCGCTATTGAAGAGTGCAAAACTACATATAAGACGTATATTGGAAAGACATTTTATAAAACAACAAAATTTAAATCAGACCATGTCTTAGTGCCGAATGCTCCAATGAAAATTATGGGATATCCTGGACTCATTATTTACAGGTATGTACAGTGATTAACAATATGTAGAGCGCATTAAATTCAACATAAAATTCCTCTATCGTTTGGCGATCTCTCTTATAAAGTAAGTAATTAAAGAATATCAGTGCGGAAGTGCGCAGTAAAGTGATAGGACGAGTTCTGTAGGCGATTCTCAAGGAAGGCGATTTTGATTTGCTTACAATATCTTGACAATGACGAGTATATGCAGTGCAGTTCAATATTACGCGTTGTAAAACGGAGAAATGGAAAAAATAGAAATTAAAAAATTTTGCCAGATCTTTGCTGCTTATCCGTAAAAAAATTATGTATTTTACATATTACTTTCTTGAAAGAAAGACAGTCAACGAGTTCGTAATTTTTTATAATATTTCTAAAAATTTCTTTTAAAAATCACCGTTTTATTTTTTGTTTTATTGAATTAGTGCTACAAAAGTTTATTAAATAAAATAAAAAACGAAATTTCGAAAGATGAATAATTTTTACAGATAAAACGAATAACATTGAGTCGGCATTTTTAAGACATCCAACGAAAACTTTCCATTTTTTTTAATACCTAAATTTCCTACAAAAATTTAATAAAAAGATTTTTTAACTATTAAAATCATAAAAGTACTTCAATTGTTAGAATTAAAAATTTGATATTGGAAACCGTACCTTATTTACGATATATGATAATACTGTTTATACTGACTTTAATTATCTCGGTTTCCGTATAATCAGTCTTTCTTTAATTGTATAAATCTAAGCATAAATATTTTCATTAATGCTTTTTAATTTGACACAAGCAGTTGTCACGATTATTATCAGATACCTTTTTTAATACGCGTACTTGAATTGTTATTGCATAAATTATCGAGAGTAAAAAGGATTTCCAGAATTCGAAAGTCCGTACATATTTACGCATACGTACGACAGAATCGTAGTTGATCCTATAAATGATCCTAAAACTCGTTAATAAAGAGGATTAATCTGGAGTTTCGTAGCTTAATAGTTCAAAAAGATTGTGTACTGAGATCTTTGAATTATCATTACATAAAAAGTTTTGTACATAAAAAGTATTCAATTGTGAATGTTCGTAGCAAAGAAACTCTTCCAATCTCATTATTCTTATACTTTACAGAGAACAAGATTTTACCTACAATGAAGATTCAGACTATCCTGGTCATAAGAGCAACATATTGAACTTAGTAGGACAAGAAATGGCGCGTCAATGGTTCAATAGAGAGACCAGTCCGCCTTCGTGGGCTGACGTTTTGTTTAACGAGGTCATCGCGTCGTTTCTCAATCATATTTTGACAGAGGTTGTTTCATATATTTCGTATTAGTAAAATGTAAATTACTTGGTTGGAACGTATCAATGATATTATAACAATTTTTAAGTTCTTAAATAAATTTCTGTCAGGCGCGGTAACGCGTGTTATTATTGCGTGTATACTGATTCTAGTAGACACGTATTCTTTTTCGACGTTATATTCACACAACCGCAATAAGTATCGTATTACTTTCTAGAAGCTGCAAAATAAGACGATACAGGATCTTTACGCGGTTCAAATGATGCAGTCTGCTTTTCATCACGATTCTGCTCTCAAAATAAAACATGTCTTACATAAAATTGACAGTGCTGATAAAATTGAGAGGGACCTTTATTTTCGCATGTATTGCAATAAAGGTAAGACTGGGCACACACAGTTGATAAGATCATTCGTAAATATTTGAATAACAATATTTGGAAAGCGAGACGAATAGTTAGTGGCAAAACATTTACAATTTATATTTATGTGTAATTCAATACTTTACATATATACGTTGACATTATAATTTGAGGGCAAATTTAAAGATAAAATTGATAAAGTAAATTTTATAAAGTAATACAAGTTATTCAGGATATATCAGATATTATCTTAATCTTTCATTATTTATCGTGTGAATTGTTGTAGGAGCCGCCTTGATCCGAATGTTGTATTATTTATTCAGTCCGAACGACTTTCACACTGCTATGCAGATGTATTTCACCCATAAGTGAGTAATATATACACATTGTAATTTTATATTCTTAATGTTAGTTATACCTGCGATATGTTCGAAAAATTTTATGTTTTGATAGATTAAAAAGCAAATCTTATGATTAGTTTGATCAAGTTTAAGAAGTTTCATCAGAGTTAAATTACATAAAATGACGTATAGTTAAAGTCGAGGTAGTTAAATATATTTGGATATATTTATAAGAAAATTTACATTTTTTCTCATTGATATTAAATTATATCGATTCAGTAACTATACAGGTTCGTTCGAACTCACCAAATTATGGAATGTTTTGCAACGCGTCCTTGATATGAGAGATAAGAAATGGGTCTTTTCGCTTGACAAATTAACGGACATGTGGCTAAACCTACAGTCTTACCCTGAAGTGTATGTTGATCGTCTGTTTTCTAATAACTCAGTGATCATTTCAAAACACGACACCAGCATAATACCTATAACTTACATCACGCAGTCGAATCTCATCTCTGGTCTTACTTGGAATTTTACTTGGCTCTCTGGTAATGAGAAAAAAAATATCTCCGGGATCGCTGAAGATGATTTTATCTTAATTAACATGGAACAAACTGGTGAGTGTTAGTCGATAAATTTGTCACGTTTATTCTATGTTTAATGCTGTATCATTTTTTCGTTAAAAGTTGGAATACGAGCAATGCTTCAAGATATAACTTACTTTTGACGAAAAAATGATACAGCATTAAACATAGAATAAACGTAAATTTCAAGGTATAACTTGAAGCATTGCTCGTATTTCCTACAATTGAGTACGAAAGTTAATGTTCAAGATATTCCTAAGAAAATACGCTTGGAGCTAATTAATACAGTAACAAAAACATAATTTTTTTTTGTACGGCAGGATATTATCGCGTCCACTACGATTTCGACAGTTGGCAGAGAATTTATTCTTATCTAAAGTCTAAAGATCACACCGTCATACACGTCAATAATCGTGCTCAACTCATTGACGACGCGTTTTATTTTGCGATGCAGCGAAGACTCAGTCCTACTTTCTTTATGAGTCTCATCTTGCATTTATTGGATTATGAAACGGATTATATAGTGTGTTATCCTGTATTCAACATCTTAGCGAGGATGTCGACTTATTTCGAATTACCAGAAGGTCGATCATTCAAGGTAAGTGACAATATCATTTCATCAAACACGTTAACTATTTAGCGTCTTATGTGTACTATCATACGAGGAGTTCATAAAAGTTTTGATAGCCCAGAGTATTTTATTTATATGTAAGACGAAATCACTTTCATCAATCTCGTTCATGTTCAAACTAATTAATGTATTTGGCCGACAATAATGTTGGAAAGGTAATGGTTAACACGTTTGTTACAATGAATTATTTGGGGAATTTTCTCTACATATAACATTGCGTTTGTTTTTATGTAATTGTGTAAAATAAACTTGATTTATTTAAATGAGAATACGCAAAGAAAAATATGTTTGTCATACATATGTGATAGCTAATATTGTAAGTAAAATTGAAAATTTTTAGTTTAAAGATGAACCTGAAGTGAAAAATCGATGCGTCACACATATGCTAAATATTTCTGTTTCTGTATAACTAGTATTTTTCTAATTGTATTATATATATAAGTCGTGTTTCCATTAATATACCGTGAAAGTTTGGAAAAATTCCTAAGAAAATGAATTTATAAATCAACTGCTTTAAGTGATAAAATACCAATAAGTGACTGATGGTTATTGCATGATTTATAGGGAATGATGGGGGATTTTTTAGCAAGTCTTTTGACGAGAATAGGATATGAAGAACGTTCTGATGAAAGTGATATGACGAAATCGTTGAGATTATTAGCAGTAAGATGGGCTTGTAAATTGGATTCTCTACGATGCAAGAATGCCGCCCGGATTAAACTGATCGAGCATTTAAACGAGCCTGACAAACCGTATGTGTATAAATCTTTTTACATTCGGTATTTCTTTGTAAGCATACTCTTAATGTATTTCTCATTTTTTGTTTGTTGATCATTCGTGCAGTCGAGACACGAGATCGAGAGTTGTGTTTCCCTTACGAGTTTGTATTTTTCTTGAATGTGCCATAGAATTTCACCCTGGTGGAAGGAATGGGTATATTGCACAGGTATGAACCTGGCAAATATAAGCCTTTGGCAAAAGTGGATGGACAGATGTATTAAAGAACGAAATAGCACGTGCTTAACTTACTTGTCTTGTGTTGACACAAAAGATGTCATCAGCTATTATTTAGATTACCTCACAGAGACACTTATGTACGGAAATTTTTCAAAAATATATAAATTCATAAATAAAACAGAGAAATTGACGCTTTTCCACACTCTGTTTAGAAAACAAGCAAAGCACAATGACATACTTTCGATGTTCGTAAATAGACAGGATAAAATAATTAAAACGTGAGCTTTTTTTCCTATATATACATAATTTGAGATTGTGAGAGTGTGAATTATGTTTGGTAATGATATATTTGATGCTTTTTGATGTTATAGGATTTATCGTGACTTCGAAATAGATCCAGTGAAGTTGTTAATAGAAGTTATGGGGAATATATATTCCCAAGATGGTTTTGATATGGTAAATTTTGCGACTTTATATATTCGATACTTACTTATTCTCGTTCTTATTAATTTTGCTACTCTGCGAGATATTATGTTATGGTTAATTTTGATCGTATCACACTAAATTACTGTTGCTTGTTGCCGACACGTGACAAAATTATATGTTGCAGATGACGATGTATGCAAAACGTTTGAAATTTAAAAGTGCGACCCAGGAACGTCAATTTCATGACCTGATCCGTTTTCGAATTAAAATATTGGCTCGAGTAGCTACACAGTTTTATATATTTTAATTTATATTTTAAACAGAAAATATGGTTAGGATCAGATTGGGCTTAAACCATATTTTTTGGCTGTTTCAACACGAAGATGGTAGTAGTAACATGCATATAAGATTGTTATCATTAAAATTATATTAGTATAGTTGATTAAAAAATGACTGTCTTGATCATAATTTGTAGTAATTATTTCTTTATGCGATTACAGTTACAAATACTAAATATTTTTCTCTTATTGTATATTGAAATAATAAGTTGATAACACTGTTTAAAGTTTCTCTTATTGTATATTGAAATAATAGGTTGATAACTGTTTAAAATGAACAAAATGCAAAACCTGCTTGCGCGTTGTGTAAAAAAATGTAATGAAAACGGTAAAAACTATGATGATCGATATCTTATAACAGTATGAGTTTATTTCTGAACATTAACTTCAAGTTAACAGTGACGGCTTGCCGATTGGACACATCCTTGTTCTGTTCTTTAGACAATCAATAAAAATCAGATTAATGATTTTTATATAATTAGGAAATCGTAGTAAAATTGAAAAAAATTTATATAAAATAAAAGTTTTAATATTTTTTGCGCGTAAGAATAAAAAAAGCATTCTTTGCAATAACTAATTCTCTCTCTCTAACAATAATCCATAATTATCTAAATACTTTTTGTGTAAGACCGTTAAGTGTTAAAACCATTCTGCCAGTTAATGTACGTGCGATCATGAGAGATCAACATGTTTATCTGACACTTAATGTTTACAATGACTATCGGTTATCGGTAGAATTGTCAGTTTTCACGGACCCGTCTAAGAGGTAAGATATGACAATCGCGAAAACATCAAAACTATATTTCATGTCATCTTAGAATTTCGAGACAATAAATGCCAGTTGAGCGCAACTGGTTATCTCATAGAATTTTGTACTCTGTATATTATCAAAATGTAATATTCTCGATTGATAGATATATTTTGTATAGATATATAAGGCAACATGATGTTTTTGAAGCTGTTATTAAGCGTCACTGTGATATTCACCGGTAACCAACAGATAATTGCGGTAATCAACAGAACTTATGACCATTGCAAAATCGCCTCTCCTTATGACAATATACCGCTTAATGAAACGACACCAACGCTTTATAATATCGATTTGAACATGGAAAATAACTTAGTAATTCTTGGCGAATCCAACATCTTTCTCACAGTTTCTCGTACAACCAAACGCATTATTTTACATGCTTGCGAATTGCAAATAGATGTTAAATCAATAGTGCTCACTTCACAAAGTATAACAACCTACGGATGGGATATAAGACACGAATATTACCAGTATGTTTACTGTCAAATAGCGCAAAACATTGAACTGATTTTTAAAGATGACATAAATCCAGGAAAATATAACTTACGCATAAAATTCAAATTGCCTTCGACTGATAATAAAGACTTGATCTTTTATGATCAAAACTTCTGGTAAGTTAATGTCAAAGTAGCATGTCAAATAAAACTTCCAAAGAAATATTTTTTGTTGTGTCAACCAAATAATTTGTTTAGACAATTCCAAAGAAACATTTATTTGTTTCAATAAATCGTTCTCTCTATGTAGCGTAGGTTGCTAGTATTATGTTAGTTGGATGTATGAAATGTTTTATGGCAGAAATATCGCATGTGGAAAGAACAAGCTCTTTTTTAAAACTGAATGTCGAGAGTAAACTTTTTCTTGTTTCTATTTTTATTGATCTGTTGATTTTGGAATTTCTCGTCGCAATCTCTTTTGAGTTGTAAGAAATGTGTCATAGATTTAGCTAAGTTTTTCCCTGCATTTGGTTAACGGTTAACACTTCAGTTAACGATTACTACAAAATGTTTTGTAAATATAATCTTTTTTATTCCAAATGACTGTTTGGATTAAGTTGATTCAAATTAAATGGGTTTAATTGTTATGCGTTGCTATTTACATTCCGTCGCGTTATGACATGATTTACGCAAGGACATAAAAACATATGCAATGACGTATTATGTTATATATGTCACAAAACTGAGTCTGCAAAATGTCCCATAGAGAGAGCTCAAAATTATCATTACAAAGTTATGAAAATTATTATGCAAGTTATTATTATCTTATTATCTTAGTTAATGACTGTTTATTGTTCTTGATTATAGAATATCACTCACTTCAATGAAACATATAAAACACTAAAATAGGAATAGTTTTTAAGTTGTTTCCTTTATGTGAAAAGATATGCGATTCCAGATACAGAGTGGATAGTTATATTAACATGACTGAATGAAAAAAGATTGTATTTACATAACAATTTGCACAATATTAAAAATTGCATACATTTTTTTTTTAATTTATGCAAAAAGTGTGATTAGACTCGGTCTTCCTTAGACGAATACGAATTTGGTTTTTAAATATAGGGTGTCCCAAGACAATCGTATATTTTAATAGTACATCTTGGATTATAATTGGTATCGAAAATAATAAAAGAAAAAAACGTTGCATCAATACTTTTAAAATTATAAGTCAATAAAAAAACCTGCTTTTCTGCAGAACAAGGATCCTTGAGACAAAATAAATAGCAAAATTATATTTTTTAATTGTTTTTAGATAGAATATAATTGCACTAAATTTTAAGTAAAAACTTGTTTGCAAAGATACATAATTAACAAATCAGCAAGTTACAATAAATGATGACTTCGTTGACGTTTTGTATTAGGAGATTTTGGACTTCAATTAAATTTCATAATATCCTATTAAAATATCATACAATAATCTTGGCACTTCTTGTACGATTATTTTCTTTGACAGTTGAAACAATTGAGCGTTCTGCACTCCACATTATACAACGGAGATTAATCATTATCTAATGTAAGTTATTGAAATGCATTAGGTTACCGATGATACGAACTGAATTGAACTCAGCGCGCAGAATATTCCCATGCTGGGACAATCCGGGAGCAAAGGCACGATTTAACATCTCAGTGAAACATTCTGTGTCCTATACGATCTTGTCAAATATGCCAGTATCGCACGTAGCCGACGAACAAAATGGCATGAAAAGGATATACTTCACCAAGACTCCCATGATAGCTCCTCGTGAAGTGGCAATTGCGTTGGTCGCTAATGTAAACAGCAAACGGAGCTATATAACTTCTGGAGTGACTCTATGGTATCGACAGCAAGTGGACGACAACCATTTGGAGTATATGTTTCACACAATTGAAAATTGCAAGAAAATATTTGACACGTACATTGGAAATAATAAAATGACGTTGAAAACAGACTATGTCTTGGTGCCGAATATTCCTATGAAAGTTATGGGATATCCTGGACTCGTTATTTGCAGGTATACGGGCTGTCTCTTACCATGCCGATAATCATGTGCAGGTTAATTGAGTATGCTGCATTTAGTTGGACATGAAAGTCTTCGATTGTTTGGCGATCACTTTGCCATATTTATAAAGTAATTAATTAAAGAATGTCAGTGCTCAATAAGAAAAATCTACTTTAAAATTTATTTGTGTGATATAAAATTTATTTTTGTGAAATATAAACTTTTGTCCCACAGATAAATTTTCAAGTATTTTTTTTCAATATGTAAATGCACACTGAAGACGAGTAGGACGAGTTCTGTCGACACTTCTCAGGCGCTTTGATTCATTTACAATTTCATGAATAATGAACAATATATACAGTGTAGTTCCATATTCATTCGAACATTGTAAGACTGTAGAGAATTTCTATATTCAATTTAATGCGCCCTACTTGCACACGAGTATTGGCACGATAACTGTCAGATGCCTTGTTTAACATATATACCTATATCAGAGTTGGGAAGTAACTTGTTACTTGTAATGAAGTTACAGTTACATTTTTTCGGTAAGTGTAACTTAACTTAGTCACTTATTTTTAGCAACTTGTAACTTTTATAACAGTTACTTTAATAATTACTTACTAAACGTAAAATAAAATACAAATTATACAGTAATCGTACATTAATTTAATAAATTTATTTTTTTCGGTAACTGTAACTTAACTTAGTCACTTATTTTTAGCAACTTGTAACTTTTATAACAGTTTTAATAATTACTTACTAAACGTAAAATAAAATTAAAATTACATAGTAATCGTATATTAATTTAATAAATTTATCAAGGTGCATTTATAGAGCATGTGATTTAATTCTTTTACTTCTACAAAACTATTATTAAATTTTCATTATGTTAAGTACAGATTTGAAATTTGTTAAGTGGATAGACTAATTAATGTGATAGATATTAATTATAAAATTCAATTCTTATATTTTAGTAAAGTTTAAAATGTAAGATTTTTATATTTGCAATAATAATTTAAAATCATTTCAAGAAAATAACTCAATTTCAAGAAAATAAAGACTCATTACTTTTTGAATAACTGGAGCTGTAACGAGTTACTTTTCACAGCCAGTAACTTGTAGTTGTAACTAGTTACATTTTCAGCAAGGGGAACTGTAACTGTAACTATTTACTTTTAAAATGTAGCTTTCCCACCTCTGATATATATAAATTGGAAGTGTTATCACACATACATAAATTGTCGAGAGTCAAAGAAACTTCCAGTATTTAGAATTCGTACGTACGTATCCACGCATACGCATGGCGGAATTGAAGATCCTATAAATGAGATCTTATAAAATCCTTAATAATGAGAATTAATCATGAACTTGTCAGCCTTATCGTTCCGCAAAATTCATATTTACTGAGATCTTGTCATTTAATCATCATTATAATTTAGCGCTATATTTGAACACGTTGAATTGTGCACACTTGTGGCAAAGAAACATTTCCAAAGTATTTACGTATTTTTATATCTTACAGAGAACGAGATTTTACGTATAATGTAGATTCAGATTATTCTGGTCGTAAGAGCCTTATATTGAATTTACTAGGACAAGAAATGGCACGTCGATGGTTCGGGGGAATAATCAGCCCGTCTTCGTGGTCTGAGGTTCTGTCTAGCCAGATCATCGCGTCGTTTCTCCATCTTATCTTAACAGAGGTTATTTCATACATTTCGTATTAGTATATGTAAATTACCTAGCTGGAACGTATTATTGATATCATAACAATTTTTAAGTTTTTGTAAATAAATTTCTGTCAAGCGCGATAACGCGTGTTATTATTTTCTAGTACCTTTTTCGATGTTATATTCACACAGTCGCAATAAGTACAATATTGTATTATCTTCTAGAACCTGCAAAACAAAGCGATACAGAATCTTTACGCAGTTCAAATAGTGCAGTCTACTTTTCATCACGATTTTGCTCTCAATATGAAATCTCTTTTATATAAGATTGACAGCGTTGATAAAATCGAAAAAGACCTTTACTTTCGCATGTATTGCAACAAAGGTAAGACACAGTATACACAGTTGATAAATCGTTCGTAAATATTTGAATGTCAATATTTGAAAAGTCAAACGAATGGTTTAATGGCAAAACATTTGCATTTTATATTTAAGTGTAATTCAATACTTTATGTACATAGTGAGTGTAATAAGTATTCGTACATCAGAGATTGTCTTGAAAAAGGCCTGGTGTATGAATATTTTTTACACTCACTGTATATATGTTAACATTACAATTTGATGGAAAATTTTAGTGTAAAATTGATAAATTTAACTTTATGAAAAAATGTTGTTCAGAATGTATCAGAAGTAATTCTAATCTTTTATTATTTATCGTGTGAATTGTCGTAGGAGTCGCCTTACTACGAATGTTATATTATTTAATCAGCCCGGACAACTTTCGAACTGCTATCCAGACGTATTTTATCAATAAGTGAGTAATACACATTGTAATTTTATACTCCAATTGATGTTAGTTATGCCTACAGCATGTTAAAAAACTGTTATGTTCTGATAGATCACAAAGTGCAAATCTAATGATTAATTTTATCAAATTTAAGAAGTTTTTTTATATCAGCGTGAAATTATATAATTCGAAAAATGTATAGTTAATCCTAGAACTTTGAATATCAAAAAGATATGTAAATTCTAAACATAGATAAATTTTATCCTGCTTATCTAATTGTTTATAACTCTCGAAAAAATAATTGCAATTCAATTCTTTTTTTCAATCGGTGCAGAAAACATTGGGGAATATGAATCTATTATAATGTTTCTGCGATTCAAATGGAGTTGGAGAAATAGAATACATATTAAAAAAAAAAAATGGTAAAAATGGTTTAAAAAGTTGGTCTGGGTGAATTTTATCCATGTTTAGGGTGCTAGGGATTAACTGAGGCAGTTGAGGGTTTTTGAATTTATTTCATGAAAAAGTTTACGTTGTTCTTATCGACAATGTTAAATTGTATCGATTTAGTGACCATACTTCGTTCAAACTCAACAATTTATGGAATATTGTCCTTGCCAAAGAAAACAATGTATGGGTCCATGGAATACAGGAAGTAATAGACAAATGGTTGATGCTGTCTTCCATTCCGCTAGTGTACGTTGACCATAATAATAAAAGTAACACGGTGTATATTTCGACAGACAATTACTGTGATTACTGTATATTACCTATAACTTACATCACGAAGTCAAATCTCAATTCTGGCTATGCTTGGAATGTCACTTGGCTTGACAGTTTTGAGACTAAAACCATCTCTAAAATCGCTGATGATGATTTCATCATAGTCAACTTGGAGCAGTCTGGTGAGGATCAATTAACAAATTCGTCACATTTGGTGTTGGTGTTGGTACCATTTTTTAAGATGTAACTTCAAGAATTGTTTTCGTATTATCTAGAATTGCACTTCTAATGTTCAAGCCGTTGTTCGATAAGTATGATCAAGGCCATCTAATATAATAACAATTTTTACTTGTGCGGCAGGATACTATCGCGTTAATTACAATCTCCAGAATTGGCTGAAAATTATATCTTACCTGAGCGTACATGATTACACGCTCATACATGTCAACAATCGCGCACAACTAATCGACGATGCGTTTTACTTTACGATGCAGGGACAACTCGTACCCTCTGTTTTCTCGAAACTCATCTCATCATATCTGCCGCGGGAAACGAGTTATATAGCGTGGTATCCTTTGTTTAATATTATGTTGCGCATGTCAACGTTCCTCCAGTTACCAGAAGGTGAAGATATGAGGGTAAGTGATAATAACGTCGAAAGACTTGATTATTCATTAATGTTTTTGCAATTTTTCCAAATATTCATAGCAATTTTGAAGGAAAAAACTTTATAATTGTATGGAAATTGGTGGACGGCACTGTATACTTTAACAGATTTCAGAATCAAGCAAGCAAGGATTTCAAAGCCATCTCTGACGTGTTTAAAAATCTTGCTTGTTTAATTGTAATTTGTTAGAAAATACTAGAAATAACTAATTTTGCCAACTTACCCTGGAAGCCAACTAGCTCTGGTCTCCCTTATAAGTCGTGTTTCCACTAATATGCTGTGAAAATTCGAAAAGATTCTTGATAGAAAATATGTTTAGGGATAAAATACATGTGTTTAAGGGTAAACGTTAACAAATAAAAAAATACCAACATGTGACTGTTGTTATTGGACGATTTACAGAAAACCATACTGAATTCGTTAGGAACTCTTCTGAAGATCATAGGATACAAAGAAGATTTCAATGAAGACAATATGATGAAGTCGTTAAGATTATTAGCAGTAAGATGGGCTTGTAGATTAGGTCTTAAAGAATGCAAGGATGCCGCCTCTTCTAGACTATTGATTCATTTCAACATGCCTTATATACCGTACGTGTGATTATTCTTTAAAATCGGTATTTCTTTTCAAACATACTCTTCATGTATCTCTGACAACTTGCTTGATTACTCGCTTAGTCGAGACACAAAATCGAAAGCTCAGTTCCCCTTACGAGTTTCCATTTCTTTCGTTAGAATTCTATCGTGGTGGGAAGAATGGGTATATTGTACAGGTATGGAAACGGCATCTCTAGGAACTTGGCGAAAATGGATGAATAAATGTATTATAAAGCAAAATGAAACGTGCTTTACTTATTTGGCTTGCGCTGGCAAAGAAGACGTCCTCAACTATTATTTATTAATGCTTTTGGGGATAAAGAAAATGGACGAATTCATGAAAGAAGCAGGGATCCTGACGCTTTTTCATACTTTATTTAAAAAACAAGCGAGTAACTATTGTATGCTTACGAACTTCGTAAAAAATCAGAACAAAATAAATAACAAGTGAGTTCTTTTCTAAATCTATTTAACTTGTGACTGTGGCAATGAATTAGGTTATTATAATATATTATGATATTAATACATTTCATGTCACAGGATTTATGGCCACGATGTGGATCTAACTATGTTGTTAAGAGAAGTAATTGGGACTATATATACCGAGGACGGTCTCAAAATGGTAAATTTTATGATCTCATGTTCTATACTTACTTATTCCCATTTCCTAATTGAATTTGTTTATTTCTGATAGATTATATGTGGCGACTGATATTAATCATGTCACGCTAAATCGCTGATGCTAATTGCTAATACATGTGAAAATTATGTGCTACAGATGACGAATTATATTCAAGGATTGAAATTTAAGAACGAGACACGATCGCGTCTATTTTATGACCTGATCGATTTACGGCTTGCCGAACTGACTCGAGCAGTCAAGATATTTCAAATATTTGTGGGAGCCAATCTCGTATAATTTCACCACAGGACGAATCAGTTGTATTCTTTCACGATTGTATATTCATACATACAACTGCGAGCGAATAATTACATATTAATTATTACTTTGTTATTTAATAAATTATATTATATTGAAATTTCTTTATTAACTTTACTATAACCTAGACGTTCATATTTTTTTTTGACAGACAGCTATTTCTATTTTATTTGCTAACTGTCCTGGACAGCGTATTTGAGATACACAGCAGACTGATAGTAATGTTTGAAACGAACAAGATGCAAAACGCTTTTGCGCACGGTGAGAAAAGGTAGGATAGAAATGGTAATGGATAGAAAGTTGTAATTTTGTAATGAGACGTTTGGTAACCCTATTCATTTCTTTCTGTACATTAACGTCAAATGATCACGGTGCCAATTAGACACGTCGTTCTTGCTCTTTTTGGATAATCAATAAATCAATAAATCAGTAATTTTCACAGAATTAGAAAATCCTAATAACTTACAAGGAACCCCAGGTATTTAGCTCCGATTTGGATGAGCTTGAAATATATTGTAATTTAGACCAAAAGAAGAGACATGTATTTTTTTATACGTATCCAGGCGGACTTTTAGGGGGCAAAATATTTGAAAAAAATCGGTTTTTTTTTAGAAGCATGTTTCGTCAAAAGTATGAAAGATAGAAAAAAATTTTTCTAGACAAAAATTAAATGGTTTTAGGAGTACTTTGCAATGACAAAATCAGATATTTGAAAAATGTTATGATTGTCAATATACCCCTATCACTTCACTACTTTCAAATATCTGATTTTGTCATTGCAAAGTACTCCTAAAGTCATATTATTTTTGTCTAGAACATTTTTTTCTATATCTTATACTTTTGACGAAACATGATCCTAAAGAAAAAAACCGATTTTTTTCAAAGTATTTTGCTCCCTAAAAGTCTGCCTGGATATGTATAATAAAATACATGTCATCTCTTCTTTTCGTCTGAATTACAATATATTTTAAGTTCATCCAAATCGGAGTTAAACACCTATATGGGGTTCTTTGTTAGGTACATTCCGTGTAAGGACGTTATATTTTAAGATCATTCTGCCTGTTAATGTACACACGATTACGAGAGATAAACATGTTTGTCTGACATTTAGTTCTTACAATGACTATCGACTATCGATAGAATTGTCAGTTTTCACGAACACACGAAAGAGGTAAGATACGTAAAATCATTGAAATTATATTTTATGTCTTACATTTTCGAGGCGATAAATGTTAATTGAGCGCAACCTGTTATTACGAAGAACTTTATATACGGAGAGAATATTATAACTTCTTTTTTCATATAAATTCTTTTCAACTTTATTATATTTTTAATAGTGTAAGAATAGATTGACAATATAGTCTATTCTGTTAAGGAACATAATAATTTCAAATTTTTAATAACGCATTTTAGTTCCTAGAATATAAATAACACATATAAGACGAAAGGACAATCTGTTATCGCAGAATATTGATCTGTTCTTCGGTTACAAAATTCTATAGTATTTTTTATTTTGAAATTTTCTCCGTGCATAATCTCAACGCGCGAGAAGGATTACGACCAACAGAAATGTTACACCGAAATGGAAAAATCTTTCGGTTTTTACAGAAAACAAGACAAGCGAGCAAGCACTGAAAACAATATAAGGATAGAAACATGATTCATCATATCATTGTCTGTTATATATATTTGATTTCATCCATTGCAAAATATAAAGTTGTTTCAATCTAAAGCATTGCCATTCTTGAGTTCATACGGCAGGATACTTAAACATTCTAATTTTACCACTCAATCTGTGTGTTAAATTGATTAATCGGTTGCATATTTTCATTGATGCTGAAAATTGTTTTTTCTTAAAATCACAGTGATATAATCGATATTCTGATATCGTAAATTTTACGATTTCTATATTTCAGACAATGTAAACGATAATTGTCATGTTACATCTTGTACGATTTTATGTGTTTGACCGTCCAAGTGTCACAAAGTGCTTGTCATAACAGTAATTATATTGTCTGCTTTCATTTTGTTTACATTTAAATGTATTTTCAGTTGACAGAGACAAACTGTTTGTGCAGATATATAAGGCAAAAATGGGCACGATATTCTTGAAACTACTATTTAGCTTTGCTATAATATTCGCTGTTATGAATATTGTAATCATGAGCAATTTTGAAGATTGCATGTACTTGTCTGCCTATGATACTATATCGCTCAGTAAAGTGAGGCCAGAAATTTATAATATGGTCTTCACTGTGAAAAATAGTTCATTAATTCTCGGCGAATCCCACATTGTAATCTTGGTGTATTATACAACCAAACGTATCGTCATACACAATTATAAATTGGCTATACCTCTCAGGTCGATAAAGCTCACTACATGGAATTCGTTAACGCAAACACCGGAAGAAACATATACATTTGAGAGACATATTTATTGCCATAAAGCGCAAACCTTGGAATTAACTATGAAGAAGTACATTAATCCGGGAATATATAATCTAAATATGAATTTCATGTTGCCTGTAAATGTGACAAGTTTGAACCTGAGCGATAAATACCTCTGGTGAGTTAACGTCAAACTGGCGTGAATTTTGCAAAGATCGCACGTTGCTACTATGTGCTGTTGCAATTATCGATATTATGCACCTTTATTTACGAAAATTATTAAAGTTCACAATGTCCCAAGGGCATTAAAGCATTGCTTGAAATTGGCATATAAATGCGAATCTCAACAGTGTTCAAATACAGGATGTCTCAAAACTATCATTGGTTTTACCACTCTTGGTTATTACAAAACAAAATATACGGTTAATAGAATTGGGGCGAGCATTAATACATAGAAGAAGATTGCCTCTATCATATTTATACAGTCAGTCACAACAATTAATTGTCTGAGAAATTGTAATTTCGAAATTCTAGCATCCAGCCCCAATCTTCCTTAACATTCATGCGCTTCAACATCAGTGTTGACTCTTATTTACTTTTTTATAAATTAAGAATAGTCTTAATTTAGTTAAAGAGTTAATTATTTTAATTACAAATATGTTAATTATGTAATATTACTTAATTATGGCATGGTAATATAATCACTTGTGTGCAATTATAATCCACCAATGTGTTCACATTATACAATGGTTGAACATTAATCTCTTGAGTGTATATGTATCATATGTGTACAGAAAAAGCACGTGCCACCAGTGTGTAATGTACATATATATATATATATATATATATATATATATATATATATATATATATATATAAAAAAAAAA